ATTTCTCTTTTTTTAGGAGTGCTTTACTTATGTGAAGTCTTTTTCCATTCCAGATAAAATTGGAAATTGCCTTTTCCTTCTCACTGAAGAATGAAATTGGTATTTGTATTGCGATTGTATTGAATTTGTAGATTGTCTCTGGTAGACTTTTTATTTTCACAGTATTGAATCTTCCTACATAAGCATCATATATTCTTCTATTTCTCCAGGTCTCTCTTTGTTTCTTGTATTGTAATGTTTTGTAATTTTCTATGTACAGTTCTTTTGTGACTCTAGCTAGATTTGCTCTCAAGTATTTTACCTACAACAAGGAGAAAACAAAATAGATGAATGGGACCTTCTAAGTAGCAAATCCCTAAGCACAAAAAATCTTCTCCAACAGGGTAAATAGGAATGTCAAAGACTGGGAAAAAATATTTGGCAATGGCATATCTGATAAGATATTAATATTTAAAATATGTAGAATATTCCAGCACCTCAACAAGGAAAATGTAAATAACCCAATCTCAAAATGGGCACAGGATATGAATAGACACTTCACCAAAGACATTCAGATGGCAACCAAACACATGAAGAAATGTTCAAAATCCCTAGTATAGACAGATGCAAATTAAAACAACTATACTCACTCCAGCAACAATAGCAAGTTCAACAGAGCAGCAAACAATAAATGCTGGCAAGGTTGTGAAAAGATTGAAACCCTTATTCACTGCTGGTGGAAGTGTAAAATGGTTTAACCACTATGGAAGGTGAATTGGCAGTTCCTCAAAAAGTCAGAACTAGAAATACTGTTTGACCTAGCAATATCACTACTGGGAATATGTCCTAAAGAAACCAGAAATGCCACCCAAACAGATACATGCACACCCATGTTTATTGCTGCATTATTCACAATAACAAAGAGATGGAAGCTACCCAAGTGCCCATCAACAAATGGATAGAAAAACTATAGTATATTCATACAGTGGAATACTACACAGCACTGAAAAACAATGAACTTGTAAAACATTATTCAACATGAGTGACCCTGGAGGACATTATACTGAATGACATATCTTAGTCACAAAAGGACATATACTGCATAGCACCACTGTTGTAAAGCAGGACTAACATGGGGGCTTGGGAGGAGAATAGGATAAGAATGGATAGATAATGAACACTGTATTGGAACAGATTAAAGAAAGAACAGCTTAAAAGCAATATATGATAAAGCATTATATGTATAACAACAGTCCAGGATAAGAGGTACATTACAAAGAGGACTGTGGGAGGGAGATAACTGTGAAACAATAAATGAATATTTTTAAAAAGAAAGTCAACTAAGGGAGAGGGACAAGCAGGGGAGGGGGAAATGTGCAACAATGAATAAATGAAAAATTCAACTTTTCTGTAAACTTTCATTAAAATCACAATTAAAATTAAAAAAATTATTTAAAAAATAATCTCTCTGTTCTATGGCTACCTTGAGAGTATAGAGGGAAGAATCAGGAAGGTAGAGAGTTAGTCTAATATAGAGAGTTATTCTAACATACCCGCTTATAAAAACATCAGGAAAGGTTTGCTCTTTGAAAAGTTCTATAGAGAGATCATGCTGAACTATGCTTGCATGGAGAAGGAAGGAAACTAGAGGTTTTTATTTTGGTGGGTTTTTTAAAAATTTTTATTTTATATTGGTTTGTTTGCAAAGTTCATATACATTGTACTTCACACTATTCTTCATTTACATTGTGCTTCATACAGTCATTCCCATTCATTATGTCTTACAAAATTAATCATCAGTAGACTATGCCTACCACCATCCTGTCTTTTCAGGTCCCTGCCGGATCTTTCCCATTTTCTACACTCCCTCACTCCACTCACCAAATTTTGCAACTCTGTGACATCACCCTTACCTATACTGGAGTGTTTTATTAGAGTTTCTGCTTTCCTTTAAAATCACTATGGGCAATCAAAGGATGCTTAGTACCAAACAGTATAAAAGAGGAGGGTGATGGTTCCTAGCAGGTGCAACAGTGTTCACACACATCATAGGCTGCAATAATGGTGACTAAATGAACAGGATGCTTTCTTCATGCTGGGGTCTGGGTGAGGTGTCAATGCTTATATAAATATCCAAGCTTAATGACAGCCTGAGAAGCAAGGTACAGACACAAATGAAACTCCATCCTACATTTGTCAAAATATCATTGATCTAGATAGGAACCTTAAGAGGTAGTGAATTTATGCCAACAAAGGTGGAACAACTCAGAAAAAGGCAAGAACAGTTGTGCAACTGGAAGAATGTAGTCAGTATTGTTAAAATATACATGCAGAAACTACTGATCTGGTTATGTTTTATTACGTGTATCCTTAATAACAACAAAATAAATGGAATATAGAGGAAAGGAAGAGAAGTAATCTATCAACCTGAAGGAGCAAAGTCTTGGCAGCAATGAGGCTGTGTAACATTACCTAATACGGGGAGCATGTGGGATGACAGATGTGTTCTATATCACATTCCCCACCCTTCCCTGTCCTCGGACAAGCCTGACTCTGGCAGTGGCAGTGGAAGGGATGTGCATGGCAGAGGTGTCTGCTTCAACAAAGAAGTCCCTTCCCGTTCATCTCTACCAACCCTAGCTGGTCAGTGGTAGTTAAAATCAACAGGCTGTCCTGGGGAAGACACATCCTTTGGGAAAGAGATTTTCTAGGTTTCTCAAGAGGATCACCTCTCTGTGAGCTGAAGCACAATTCTCTACTTGCTTCAAAGAACTTTCAACTAAAGCATCACTGGGCTAAATAGTTGTACCTATGGAAAGAGAAAAGAAAAATGCACATCAAACTTCTAATCTGCCTCCTTCTACACTCTTATCTGCAATTCTTCATCGCATCAACCTATAGCACATATCTGATCACACCTTCAGGAAAATGAGCTGTCAGAGGCTCCATTACCTTCACACCTGAGGTCACACGCTTCAGCGTGCAGAGACACTTTTACACAATGCCCCTAGGAATCTGCTCTACTTCTTTCTCTACTATTAGAATTGTACCTCTTTTCAATGGCAGCCACAACAAACTCATTCACTTCCCACCATCTGCCAGGTTCCATCCTGGTCAGCATCTCTTCTCAGCTTCTTCTCTGTCAGCTGGTCCACCTTCCCAGGCTCCACCACCCAGTCCTGCAATTCCACTAAGATCCTACAGAAGCTGATGAGGCAAACTTGCCTGTTTCTAGTGGTTACTTCTTTTCTGTCCAGCCAGCTGCCTTTTCATCCCTTGGAATCTTCTACACAGAAGCCAGAGGTCTGTCCACACAACACTGCCATCCTCAGGACTGAGCCATTCTACCCAGTACCCTACCTTCAGAGGCAGTGCACATCCATTTGGCACCGCCTCCTCATAAGTGGGACACAACCTCCAGGCTCCCACTCCTCATAAGTGGGACATGTTCACACAACCCTGCTGGCTCAGGACTGAGAAACATCTAACCAGAACCCCCTTTTACACACACACACACACACACACACACACACACACACACCCTGCAGAACCAAGAAGCATCCACCTGGCAACTCTTCACAAAACCCCAGGGTATATCTGCCTGAGACCCCTCCTCAGGACAGGGAGCAAGTTCACACTGCCGGCAAGAGTCAAAGGAGACTGGAATTGAAGTCAGTCCTCTCCAATCTGTGTCTGTCTCCCCATAATGCTTGTATTCTTGACAGTGGAAGATGGCATAATTCCCTCAGCAGGTCCTATTCAAGCAGGCTTATTCAAAGTAGGAAATGGTGTGGTTCGTGGCCAGTGCTTTTACCATCACCACTGCTGCTGCTGCTACCTGGTTACGTAGAAAGTTCTATGAAATTGGTCACCAAGTATGAAACGAGGGCCAGGTCTGCTGGAGGAACAAGACCTCACCTGTAAGGGTCTGTCAGGTTGAATTATGTCTGCCAAAAATATGTTCTAATTTGACTGAGCCTGGAGTCTCAGCAGTTTGGTATTTATGTAATTTTATGATCACCCCAATGAGGTGATCAAATATGATCAGATGTAAGGAGATTAGGGCAGGATTTATGATCCTTATGCACATCATACCTTGATCCAATGCAAGGATTATTTGACCTGGGGTGTAGTCTATTTTTATCTTTATAATAGATACAAAGAGAGGAGAGGATGGGAAAGCCCAGAGAAAGAAATGTCAGAACCACAAAAGCAGAGCTCTGTGAACCCTACGGAAAATGGAAAACAAGACAGGGAGATCTCCAAGGGATATTGTGTATTGAAAGATAATGAGAGCTTTCACCCAGAGCCAACAGAGAGAAAGCCTTCCTCTAGAGCCAATGCCCTAAATTCAGACTTCTAGCCTCATTTGTGAGTGAATAAATTTCAACCTGTTAAAGGCATGCACTTGTGATATTTTGTTACAGCAGTATCAGATTACAAAGTCAGAGTGTCTCCTACCAGCCATCAGACAAGAAATAGTCTTGTCTTCCAGGCATCACTAGAACACAGTCTCCCCACATGCCACCTCACAGCACAAAAGACATGCCCCATCATTCACCAGCTGCGGAAGGGGCTGACTCCTCACAATGAGCAAATCTTGAGACTACATAATTCTCACCTTCCTCTTACCAACTCATCTGGCTCTGACAAATGCTCATGGATCTCATTACAGCTCCCCACATGCTTCCTCATGCATTAAGGGCCTTAGCCCCAGTTGACCAGTAAAGAAACAATGAAGATCTGTGAGGACAAACAACTTGCCATGAGAGGCCAGAGGGGGCAGTATCTCTGCAGCTGGGTGCATAGCCCACAGCTCACAGTTCTGCAGCTCACCTGGCAAAGGCAGCACACAGCCTGCAAAGAGGGTGTGCTGGCCAGGGGAATGGCAAAGTGCGCCAGCGGAGCCCTGAAACCACCAGGTCCACCCAGGGAGTCAGGGGCCACGGATCTGTGCCTCCATATTCCCACAGGAGAGCCCATCACTGGGGAGCAAGTAGATTCCAACCCAGAGCACCGACCTGCTTCTCGTTCTCATCCTCCAGCCTCAGCCTGTCCTCGATGCAGTCACGGGCCTGCAGGAAGGTCTTCCTCTGGGAGCGCTCAGTCAAGATCCTCACAAAGGCCCCATACATGTTCACGCTGACAAAGAGCAGAGCATTGGCCCCGAGCTGGAGGGAGAGAAGGTGCAAACACAATGTGAAAGTAGATGGCTAATGGCATGAAGAACAGCACAAGTCCAATGAGAGTCCCAGCTGCACGAGACACAAGCCTGCTCCACACAACCTACCCTCAAAGAAAAGGCTCCAGCCTCTAGTCCGGGCTGGCTGCTCAGGCAAGAACAGGTAACAGAACTAGATTGACTAAAGTACACAAAGGTGAAAAGAGTTGTTTGCATCAATGTTAAGTGCGAGGCTTTGGAAATAGTGAAAGTAGGTTTCAAAAAACCCCACGAAGGATAGAGATTGGGGTGTAAGGAGAACACTTGAGGAAAAGCTTCAAGTCTAGAAGGTTTATCTTTACATTTTCCTTTCCCTCTCAAGAGAAAGATATGGGATTGGCTAAGGAAGGTATGGAAAGCTGTTCCAAGAGTTCCCATATTCTAGAGCTTGAGCCTGTTGTGAGACCACACTGGTTCAGAGTACAGAGTGGTTCCAGTTATAATACTAGATAAGGTTCATGTTATCCAGATCACCTGGATTTCCCTAAACCTCACTGTGGGCCACAGAACTTGTAATGTGTATCTTTACAAAAAAACATACCCTTCCAAGAAGGTCCCAGGCTGGATTTCACCTGTAGAGGACAGAACCAAGACAAGGATCCAGACACTGGCTGTCAGCTCTGTCCCAGGTACTGCCTGAGTTTCCCATGTGATTGCTTACTTTACCTTAGGAATCCCTGGCTCAGAACTGAACAGAAGACCCTCCCGTAAGCTTTGGAAGATTTGCCATGCACCACAGAATGCATAAGGATGGGCATGAAGATGCTACCTCCTTTGGATGATTACGATTTTAAACCTACTTATAAGGCAGTGGCCCCTTGGCTAGATGCAGGATCAGAGAAATGACAGCTTATTAAACCAGGGCATTTCTACAAACACCACCAGGATTCTTACACTGAGAATCAGAAGCACCTCAAAACGCAACTGCACATGACACAGATGACCAATGACACAGCAATGCAACAAAGAAATGGGGAAAGTAAAGAAAGGAGCCAGGAAAAAAAGATGCAGCCCACCACTCAGAAGTCCTGCATAGTACAGAAGGTGACCCAGTAGACATGGCTGTGGCCCAAGTGGGGAAATGCAACACCTGGTCCTCTCGAATGCGGGCCTAGGAAAGTGGGAGTGTGCACACAAGGCAATCAGGGAGATGAGAAACTCAGAGCGAGGAGAGATGTGAGTACTCAGGTGAAGACTTCTGTCATTGTTGGACTTGAGGTCCTAGAGCAGCCACAGAGATTCCCTTGAGGGAGCTAAATATCCAGATCTATCAATGGGACATCTGCTTTTTTTGAGTTTTCGGGAGGGGGGGTAGTGGAGTGTGTGGTAAAAAAAGATAAGGGAAACTACCACTTTCTCAACCTGTGAGTGTTACCTCTGCAGCTCTCCATATAGCCAAAGTGGGGACCACATCTTTGATGTCACATACACATGCACACCAGATACCTATCTTGCCTCTGAGGATGTTTCTGGAAAGGCTTTGTAGCGAGCATCCTCCTGCAGCACAGGACCCAGCAGGAGCCAGATCTGCAGAAGTGCAGCTCTGCCCACATCACACAGCACTTTCAAACTCCCTCCCAACTAGGCCTCTGAGCTCTCTGAACAAGGCTGAGTTGACAGACACCTTTGCAGCATCTCCTATGACTGGGGCATGCTGTGTATACAGACAATGGTTTCTAAACTAACCAATCAGCTGCTCGAATCTTACAATCACTGCAGACTAATATATTCATCTCGGCATTTTTTTTTATAGGGGGTGGGCAACTAGCATGCATAGAAGGAAAAGGTGCAGATTTGTTAGGTGCTCTAAGTTGAATATGACTTGTAGTGACCCAGTGACCAATAGGTCTGAAAACTGCCCTATCCTGTGCCATCCTCACAATTTCTGACACCCTCAAGCCCATTGCTTCAGTCACTGTGTCAATCCATGCTATTGAGGATCTTTCTCCCTTTTGCTATCCTTCCACATTTCCAAGCATGATGGCCCTTTCCAAGGACAATATGCTTTTTCTAACAATATGCCCCAAGTATCTGAGACAAAATGTTGTCATCTTTGCCTACAGGAGATTATACTTGCACTTTCTCCAAGACATATCTGTTTGTTCTTTTGGCAGTCCATGGGATATTCAGCACTCTTCTCCAACACAACTCAAAGCATTAATACTCCTTTTGTCATCCTTATTCATTAACCAGCTTTCAGGTGCATAGTAAACAACTGAAAAGACTATGGCCTGCATGAGGCACACCTTCATCTTCAAACTGACATCATTGCTACTCAGTAATTTGGACAGGTCCCTAACTGCAGACTATCTCAATTCAGTTCTTCTGATCTCCTTACTAGCTGATACATAGGATGTAGACGGTGGATCCAAGTAAGATGAAATTATTTACCATTTCAATCTTTTCTCCATCTATCATGATGTTATCTATCAGTATAGTGGTGAGAAATTTTGTTTTCTTGATGTTGAGGTGTAATCCATATTGAAGGCTGCAGTCCTCGATCTTCTGCAACAAATACTTCAAGTCCTCCTCACTTTCAGCAAGTACTGGTGTGACATCTGCCTAACACAGGTTGTTGCTGAGTCTATCTCTGATCCTATTATCACATTTTTCTTCATAGAGTCCAGCTTCTCGAATGGTTTGGTCAACATAGAGACTGAACTGGTATGGAGAAAGGCTATAACCCTGATACACAATTTTCCTGATTTATGTCATGCCATTTCCTTGTTCTGTTCAGATAACAGCTTCTTGGTCTAGGTCTAGGTTTTTCATGAGCAAAGTTATATATTCTGGAACTCTAGTTCTTCTCAATGTTAGACATAATTTGTTATTATCCACACAGTCAAATATTTTTCATAGTCAATAAAGCAAAAAAAAAAAAAAAACATTCTTCTGGTAGTCTCTCCTTTTAGCCAGGATCCATCTGACATCAGTAATGATATCTCTGGTGCCACAGCCTCTTCTAAACCTACCTTGAACCTCTGGCAGTTCTCTGTCAATGTACTAATCTAGCTGGTTTTTTATGATCATCAGCAGTACTTTGTTTGCACATGATTTTAATGATACTGTTCAATAATTTGCAATTCACATGGCACAGCAGAATCAAATAGGAAGGATATGCTTCTCATCCCCACAGACACAGAATCCTGCACTTCAACCACCACCTCAAATGCTTCTGAGGAGTGGATGTTCTGAGACAAAGAGGAAAGAGATGGATGCAGACCAGGTGCTGCTACCACCCCTTCAGGGACTCTGGCTGGTGTATAGCTGCTTCATGCATGAACCCTCACATGGGGCTGTGGCAACCTGCTGCCCCTGAGACACCCTGCACAATGTGCAATTAAGCAGAAGACACCAGGGGTTTCCCAGAAAGGCCTAGAGAAGACTATTACTCAACAGAGACATGAGGACCCACCCTGAAAAGGAAGGACAAGTGGCCCCCTTATACACCTGTCCTCACTCTGTGATATCTCCAACTGGAGGCTTTAAAATGTAGCCAGAGCCTGCCCAGCAGCCTGAACTGAGAAGACAGCCTCCTCCACATGCCTCCAATAGAGTCCTATATTTCCCTGTGCTGGGACAGGGGCCCACAGGGCCAGATTTGGCACAGCATTTACAGAGGCCTCACTCAGCCTTGGGGTCCAGGTTGGGGATGGAGGAAGGGGTGTCTCAGTGATGTAACCCAAGTTGAGATGTGGAGACAGGGGACGAAGGCATTGCTGGAGGGTGGGGTGGCATGACCAGGCAATAGAGCCTGCATATAGGGATTAGAAGAGTGGGAGGCCATGAGGCTGGGCTGCATTTTAACAAAGATCATCCAAACAGCAAGGTGGGGCCCCATTAAGGAAGATGTTGACCCCATTCCACACGCTTATAACAGAATATCTCTCCCTAACACAAGCAAGGATGCTTTCCCACAGGGAAACTGAAGCTGATAGCTTTCACCAACAAAACTATCCTGAGCTGCAAATATCTAGAAAGAATGAGACATAGACACTAAAGTTGAAGTCAGGCTGGTGTTCCTACAGTTGAGGGTGCTTTCTTCCTTCGGAGATGCACACATTGCTGATGGGCCTCAGTGGTCCCACACATATTCCCTGAGAGTGCAGAAGAGGTCCAGAGCCTGTGCCAGGCTTCCTGCACACCTGTCTCCCTCATTCAACCCACCCCATCTCACCCCCAGCAACCAGACATTGTCGCTGAGAAGCCTCACTGTGACCTGAGCCAGAGACAGCAGGAGGTGCTTGCAGGAGAGATGGAGGAAGGGAGGGGGAGAACCAAGGTACATCAAGGCTAGCAAAAGCCGGGGTGGTGGGGCCCAGGTGGGTGAGACTGGGCCTCCCCACCCAACCACTGCTAACTGTACCCCAGCTGCATAATATCTGAAGAGTTAGCCCAGGTAAGTGCATGGCCTAGAAAAGATGCTTGTCCATCTTACCGCCACCAGGTGTTCTGCCCCTCCAACACCAGACAGTCTCTGCATCTCTCTCTTGTGACCTGGTTCCACTGCTCTGGAGGCATGACTGCCCTCTTCACTGTTCCTACTCCCACTTTCTGGCCACAGTTTTGTTGCTTTCTGACGCTGGTCACACTTCCAGTCACTACCCACTGGGGGTGACAGTAAGTTCTCTCCTACCCTCTGTGAGCACAGAGCAGTTCCTTCCCATAAGCCCTCTGGGCCCAATCCTGACCTCTCTCTCTTAACAAACTTTCACAGGAAGCACACCCCCAGCTGGGCTTCATAGACTCTGTGTCAATACAGTCCTTACAGGACCCATCAAAAGTTATAGCCACAGTTGTCTCACTTCACATGGGAACTGAAGAATGTGCACAATACACACCTTATGACCTCACCCCTGACCTACACTGTGAGCCACCTTGTATTCTACCCCTTGTAGTCTGACCTTTCAGGACAGCACACACCAACCTCTCCACCCTGACTTCTTTCTC